TTTTTTGAGTTATAAAATCGGTTCAAACCGAACCAAACCGATTTTTATTAAGAGGTATTTTTAATTATTTATTTTGTAGAACAAATAGGTAATATAAAGCTTGTACGTCCTTATGTCAACAATTAGTTGATTCGGTCCAGTGGGTTGATGTTTAGAGATCAGCGTGCATGATTTTATTTTCACCTGGGTTCGAATCCCGCATGCCTCGCTTCTTATATTTTTAGTTTCTAAAGCTTAAGATTCTCAAATCGGTGAAAACGGAGGATTTAGTACTCCTTCGTTTCTATATATACGCTCCACCTCTAAGTAATACTACTCCCTCCGTCCCAAGTTGTTTTGCAAAGTCAACAATTTTTTGTCAACCAATAAAAAAAGTCAATGCTCCCTATCGATAATTAATTCCATTTTTAATAATTAAAATTTATATATTCAGAAACTATATTAATATCTCTTCAAAGTTGTAAATTCCAAATTAGAATATTATTAAAAATTGACATCCTAATTAAGCAAATAAAATGAAATTGTTTGACCAAGAAAAGTCAAATTTGCAAATCAATTTGGGACGAAAGTAGTAATATATTACTACAAAAAAATTGGGCTCTTCCAATTTTTTGGGTCCTGTGCGGTTGGACATCCTACACACCCTCAGGGCCGGCCCTACTACCTAGTACCGTTCCTACTCTGTCATAATTAGGGCTGGTTCGGTATGGTATACCGAAATTTCAACGTCATACCGCATACCGTACCGAAAATCCGGTATTGGTAAATGTCATACCGTTACCATACCGAAACTTTCGGTATACCGAATTTCGGTATACCGAAAATTCGGTACGGTATGTAACCCATACCGTTTTATACCGAAAATTCAAAAAAAAAAACTTCTAGGCAATTCCGTATAAAGTATTAGCTTAAGGGGCCTACCGAACATCCAAAAAAACTTAATTATTTTAACAAGTCAAAAGTAGCATGTGACATCAATACATAAACCGATACCAAAACTAAAACACAATATTCAATCCAAAGTAGAAAATACTAAAATTATGTGCTAATATCTCAAGTCTCAACACAATCCATAATGAAAATTAGAATATTTATCCAACATAAATCAATGATAACTAATGTTTGTAATAACAAATCTTTGAATCATTGTTGCAGCTCCGTATAAATAAGAGATTTTCTACTTTGGTAATATGATGGTCGTCCGCCGTATAAATATTTTATCAATATACTTTATCATTTGTTTATAAATATAGAATGAACATACACCAGATTGTTCATATTACCATGATGGTTAAGCTTTAGCAAATAATGATGGTCGTCCGCTACCCCGTGCTTCGTCAATGGCGTCTTCGTCACTCGTCCGCAGCTCTAGCTCGAAGTTTTATGTCATTCTTGAGTACTCCGTCACTCGTCCGCATCTCCATCGTCAATACTCAATAGTCCACAGCTCTGTCACTCGTTGAAGAGAAGAGAAGCTGTTTGACTCTACGTTGATTTATTTGGGGAGAATTTGACTTTGCACCCCATGTTTTGGGTGATATTTGAGTTTGCACCCTATTTTCAAAATCATTAATGTATGCACCCCAATTCACTATAAAATTATTTGACTTTGCACCTCACTCATTCACAATTTTTGGGCTAATGGGGTGCATACATTAATGATTTTAAAAATGGGGTGCAAAGTCAAATATCACCCAAAACATGGGGTGCAAACTCAAATTCTCCCATTTATTTGTTTAGGGATTTAGGCCTCTACTTGGGAGAACTAGAGAAGGGCCGTAAGTATTATAAGATGAGTTATTTTAATTTTGGGTCTTGGTATTTTAATAATTTCATTTAATGGGTTTGGCCCTAAAAATTTACAAATTCTATTTCGATATATCGGTATTTCGGTATATACCGTACCATACCGAAAATTAACGGTATTTCGGTATATACCGAAATACCGAAAATTTAAAAAATCCATACCTTTACCGTACCGAAGTGACCCGGTATGGTATCATACCGCACCGAACTTTTCGGTATACCGAAAATTTCGGTAAATTCGGTATGGTATGGCCGGTATACCGAAATTTCGGTATATTTTCCCACCCCTAGTCATAATACTCTAATAGGTTGCCTGCATGTTTATGTATCTACCGACATTTGAGTAATAATGAAATTATTGGAACACTCTTCACTCTTCTAGAGTACGCAGTACTAGGTACCGTACCGAAAAAGACCAGAAAATATCGAAATATTGATATACCGTCATTTTCGGTACGGTATCATACCATACTGGTTTATTTCTGTAAGGTAACCCTAAATGTGTTTAAACAGCATTTAAACACAAAGTAGATCGATAAATGTAGTGTTTAGCACATGAGAAGAAACTTTTCCGGTGGGCTTTAAACACAAAGTAGATCATGTGCTTAAACTCCATTCCATTTGTATGTGTTTTATTTCTTGTGGCACACACCCAATGATATATTACATGGATGATGCATGGGGAATATGGTGATGATACCTTTTACAATGTAACTGAGTGTGTGGACAACCATGTTTTGCTCGGAAATTAAGATGCTGTTGCAGATGTTCATTTGCTTGACGCTATTGCAGGTGCGAAATAATCTTGTTTCGGTTTTCTTGTTTGCTCAAATCTAATGTGTTTAGCCAACATAATATATTTGCAATTTGACTTTAATTTAAGGTAGATTCTATGGTAAAGTGATGTGGTCCAATCAAATGAATAGTAGGTACGGTACCCCATTTTTTAGAAAGGTATCGGAGTTGTCACCTTAATTTAAAGGTTCTCGGCTTCTCCTTGTCTTACATGAAGTATTTTTAATCTTCAGCTAGTTTACTTTTCTTTTCTTGACCAGGTCAATCTAACTTTTTCCTCTGCTGCTATTCCTTAATGTTTAGGTTCAGGGAGCGTGGAGGAGGAGAATGCTGGGGGTGGACAAGAAATCTAAGAAAGGTTTTTCAAACCATTGGCCTTTTCTTTTAGTAGGTTTTTTTATACTCCCTCCGATCCTAAATAAACTCCACATTTTGACTTCACACAAATTAAGGAAATAAATTTGACTTTACTGTAGAGTACACTGTTGTGACACTGTTTGGCACTGTGTGGCATTGTTTGACACTGTTTTGCACTGTTTTGATGTAGATAATTTACCAAATAAGGAAGGGAGAAGAAGTATGAAGTTTATATTGGAACTACCCAAAAAGGAAAATGTAAAGTTTATTTAGGCTCGGAGGGAGTATGAAAAATGAAAGTTAGAGAGACAGGAGGCCGGAGGAAGTAATCAGTTAGTATGTTACTGATCAAGAAAGATGAAAAAGAAGAAAGGTGGAGTCGTAGAAATAGAGTTCTTATACCGTGGTACCGGCCCACTATGAGCACCATGCTCTCAGGAGTAATATACACATGAATAGTGACGCGGATGAACAATGACTTTTTTTGTGTTTTAGTTGCAGGGTGGTGTAACTCCCGTTTAACAAAATGTAACTCACTTTGATAGGAAATGTATGTTGTCTAAAACGAAATATAAGAAAAAAAACATTGATTTCAATGTAATCAATGAAAAATTGATCACAATTGCTCAATTACTTTTTGTAAATAGTGAATATGTTTTTTTTAATATTAGGGCTATACAAAATGATGTAGTTAAAAAAATCATTTTTTGGTCATTAGAAGGGGTTTATTTCGTGGTGTAACTCGCGTACATTGAGATGTAACTCATGCATAAACAGATGTAACTCACGAATAAGAAGATGTAACTTCATATAATATCAAATGTAAACAATGAAAATACGGAGTTTAGTTGTTCAATTAATTTACATAAATAGTAATTTTTTTTGTTTTTAATATTAACGTCGTAAATATGTTTAAAAAATCATTTTTCTATATGGGTAAGTTTATTTTATTTGACCAATAAATGAATCCATGTTAAGTTTTTTTGATTGATAAAATTTTATTCGGAATGCAAAGATAAATCTGGTTGTGGACAACTGGACATGCATCATGTTATGGCAGACCCATACGGAGAATTGGGGCGGAGGACGGGAGGAGTGTGTGCGTCAGAACTGTGATGGAGAAAAAAAACGACGAAGCAGTAGCAGCGGAGAAGAGAGCGCACTGGCTAGCCAAGGAGATGAATTGTTTTTAATTAGAAAAACGGTGTCGTATTGGGACAGGTATACCATGCTCATGGTATGCCGGTCCTACGGTATAATTTGCGGTAGAAATACAGTCAGCTCAATACTTCAACCCTAGAACTAAGATTATTTATATACGAATGGATTTTGATATGTGTTTAAGACTACAACACTTTATTAAGTCCGAGCTTTTACGGCCTTTCATTAAAAGATAAACCATTTTGATGTAACCATTTTCTCTCATTTTGAGATTCCCGTATAGGGAATCTCACCATGCTTAGGTCATATTTAAATCGTTTGAAGATCTAAAATCTTTAATTATTGAAGATCAAGCTGCTATATGGTTACACTACAAGAATTTTCGCGTTTTACTGTCGGATTATCCGACACTAAATCTGTCAGTAAACGCTTTGATGTCGGATTTTAGTGGCGGATCCTGCCGTCGCTAAAATCTGGACATTAATCAAATTAGCGTCGGATAAGCTCGGTAGACGCAAATCAGACACGGAATTTAGTGTCGGGTATTCCGTCACTAATGTTTGTGTCGGATATTCCACCACTAATATCCGTCAATGATTTATTTTTGTGAAACTAGGATTTTTATTTAATAAAATATAGTTTTATAATATAAATACAAATTCTTTTTAAAATTCGTAATTTTGTATACAAAAAAACGTAGGTCTGCAATCCACTACTAATGTCCATCATTGATTTAAGTTCTTATAAATAAAATCTTTTAAATAACATGTACATATACATGTTCAACAATATAAATTCAATTTAATAATTATAAAAAATCTGTATACTAAAAATGTAATAATAAAATCTAGAGACAAATAAACAAAACACATAGCAACCATATTCAACACATATTATATTACATACTTTGGTCCAAAACTTGCTAAGAAATAAAAACATTCATCATTAATCAATTCATAGTGAAATTTAACAACTTGAAATAGAAACGAGATAGTAAAATTAAACTTAACACGAATCTAATGACAAACTAATGAGAACATGATTCATCAAGACTGTCTCCCGAGTCTCTAGAGGATTCCGATGTTGCAAAGAAAGTGGGCGCATCAATCCCTATTGATTTTAAAAATGGAAGCCATGTTTGTTCAAAGTTCTTAGGCTGTGAATCGGGCTCCTCGTCTTGAACAAGATCATCTACAATTGGCATAACTGGGGGGGCTTCATCACCCTCTGAAATTAACACCTCCCTCATGCGTGCATCCCAATAAACACAAAATTCACGCATCCGGCGAGCTCTTGAAGACAAACGTTCTGTACTTGACTCATTTACATGATGAAGGAAAGCTTCTGAATAGCTGCCAAGTCCACCAACTCTCATCTTTTTGCACCCAACAACTTCCAAGTATTTGGAAGACAATTTAGTTGATGAGATCTTGGGTGTTGTTGAACTTTCTTCTTGACTTGAAGGCTGAGACTGTTGTTGGAAATCATCTTGACAAGCATTATACAATTTACTCAAAGCATCCTATACAAGAAAAAATAACAAACTTAAGTAAATCTGCACAAAAAAATAACAACAGAATCTGCCATATGCCACTTTTTACAGATTTTGACCTAAAATATATACTAGGATAAGTTCTGCAGAAAAGAGGAACTAGGCAAGCATAGCATACCATGTTTAGACTAGAAGAGTCTATAATAGTGTAACCATCAGACCTAGTTGAGGAAGCAAGCACCACTGCTTTCAACTTTTATAGTGTATAATCTTTCCACATCAAAAAGCAGTCTTATATTCAATACAAAGTGAATTATTTCTATTCTAATGCAGACCTGTCCACGATATGAATATCATATTACATATAAATTAAGGCCTCATTCAAAGATTGATGTCTTCCTGCACTTCAATTAGCCATCAAACTTTTATTATTACATAAAAATTGAAAAATCCTAAAATACACCCCTCCTTTAACTTGTGTGGCTAGCTTAATTTAGTATCTTTTTTTAGACCATGCTCTCAACGAGAACAACTTTAAAGGGACTGGAATATTAGTTTGTAACTAAAACAGTTGAAAATTACATAGAATATGAAGACTACGGAAGGAGATAGGTAACTCATTACAATCTAATTTAGACTTAAATCTAATTGTCTTTTTAGTATATAACATATTATTTTTAAAGCAAACTAAAAAGAAATGTAACTACATACCTTCACCACATTTTGTGAGGGACAAGTAATAAGCTCTCCATTCTTCCTTTTCTCTGGATGATAAATACCATACATCTTCACGGGATTTATGTGTTTGCCAGTGGCTCTCAACTAAAATAAATACTCAAAATCAAATAACTATGATGAATTAAGTAAATGTATGACAGATATGCTAACATCAACTTAAATTTCAACCTCTTGTGTAGCTAAATCAATAGCGGATTGAGACCCTCCGTATTGCTTACACCTATCTCCACCTGCAATGCGATTTTTTTACCAGACTTTGATGCCTTGACAAACTGTATAGACTTCTTAAATTCTTCAACAACAGACCAAGTGAAATCATTCACAGTTGGAGGTCGAGTTTTCCTTGAAAGTTTGAATTAGTTAGATAAACAAATGAAGTAAACCATGTATGTTGACAGAAAAAATGAATATTCAAACAAATATGAAGCATTTATTTTACTACCTTAATCGAGTCATGATTTTGGAGTAGGCTTGTTTTTTCAAATACTTTAGATAACCGGCTTTTATTTGTTCATCACTGAACTGCTCACTATCCCAAGTAACTAACCTCTGTGAAATGAAAATAAGTTATTTAAGAAACAAATTATATGAAAAAATGATTTATTATAGAAGAAAATGATTTATTATAGAATTAAAATTACCTGGAACTGATCCCAATAAAGGTCTTTTGTTCTTGTTGGTACCCATTGCCATCTTTGGCCAGCCGGGTGCAAATTATATGTGATTTGCCTACCCACAATTTTCTGAAATTTTAAACTGGTTTGGTTGATAACTATGTTTGTTAGGCTGCATTTAAATTGTGTGAGTTAGTTTACATAGTTACAGAGAAGTTAAAATAAAAAAGAATGTATAAAAGTAGTAAGGGTGAACGGTGAAACTCACTTCTTAGTTGCGTTTAAACCAATATTGGGTTTTTGAAATCGTGCAACTGATACAGGCTTGAAAGGGTCCAAAGGTGGTTCCCCCCAGTTAAGATGGGCATATACTTCTGGCTTCCATTCTATGGGAACCTCTTCTGTATCTTCATTTAATTTGTCTGTGGCATCGTTTTCTTCCGGTGGATCCTCGTTCATTTCAAATGTTGATGAGTTATTCTGATTGGATAATGGTTCGTGGTTTTGGAACGTTTGAATGACATGTTGTTGGTTATTTGCTGCTGAATTCACAGGTCTAAGACCAGGAGGTCGGCTATACTGGGATGGAGGTGGGTGGAGAATTCGTTTATTTTGCCCGACTGGTAAGGATGTGTTTTTTCTGTTCACCGCAAACGGTGTAGATGACCTTGAGTGACTGTGAGTTGCTGACTGTTTTGAGTTGCTTGTGCTGCCAGTTTTTTCAGGGACTTTATTAGCTTGTTTGCTATTTAGCTTGGCAGCCCCAAATCCTTTTGCTGGAACCATGTTAGACCTTTATCTTCAGAAGTAGCACCCTTTAAAGCACCAAAATCCAAGTAAATCATTAACTAAAACAGATTATTTTAGTAGGGAGTTCAAAAACGGAGTAGAGAGTTCAAACTACAGACAACATTCATTTTTCCTACTAATGGACAGCAATCATTTTAAGCTATATTTTATATACTTACATCATCTAACAAGCAACTTATTTAGCTTGACATATTCAAGTAACATGCAGTGATCATCATCCCAAAAAACATTAACGGTTTGTACACAATTCAAAAATGCAGCCAAGTAAACAAGGATTCAAAAAAATAGCATTGGACAGAAAATCAATTCCTTAATAGTTTAATACTAGGAAGTATAAAACCAGCATAAAAGACTTTTCAAAACTATGTTCAGTGTCTCAGTGATCATATTATGAATAAATTAGCAATTAAGCAAGAAGTTTCAGTGAGGTTTTTTTAAAAAGAGTGTTAGTTTAAATAAACTTGGTAAGGTTTTAGTAAGTTTAATTAACATGATAAAAACAAAGCATATTCTTTTTAGCATGTGGTTGGAGTAAAAGTAGCACATTCAGAACACCTCCTGCTGGAGGGTCAAAACAGTAAAAGTAGCACATTCAGAACAATCCTTCAAAAGTAGCACATGCGGTCCGATTAAAAATGTGATGTTTGAAAAACAAAACCGACAAACTCATATGTGCTGGAACTTTCGGTTCCAAAACCAGACGGACTCCCAAAACCAGACCTTCATGTTCTTTCACTGCTTGGTGTGGTTTTGTGAGATCGGTGGATGAAACCCAAATAGAGTGAACTCAGTGGAGTGATGAAGGATTACCTCTAGTTTGCTGGTGGCGGAGAGATTAAAAAGGGTTGATTGATGAGAGATGGTTAGTTGAATCTTCAGACTTGAAGCTTCACAAAAGGTGCGAAGCTGATTTGAAGTCGTCCTCAGACCTCTTCCCTGCGCTAAAATTAGAACCTAATTTAGGGCCTTGATGATTTAGGGCTAATATCTGGAGTAAAAGAGTGAGAAGAAGTAAGAAACAGATAACCTGGAAGGGGTGTAGGAAATCTCTCTAGAACCGCTTCTTTTCTTAGCACGATTAGGGTTCCTTGAAATTGTTTTGTGGGGGACTAGAGGGACGAATAAGTGGAGGGAGTTTGAGAATCAGGGGGGAAAGGAGCGGGTGATCAAAATTTTCACCAAATAATTGAGGGAAATGGGCGGAAACGAAATCATGCCCGACAAAATTATTAATAATAAAAATATTAAAATATACTCCGTACAATTTTAGCATTTTCAACCAACAATTTTATGATTAAAAAATCCAAAATTTTACATTTTATTATTTTCAGTATTTTAGGATGTTGGATGCCCGACAAAGTTTTTTTTAGCATGTTAGACTAGATCAGACTTAAACAGACCAGATCAAATCAGATAAGACTTTCATAATTATAAAATACACAAATTAGACATTTATTGCTAATTTTAATTCCCCCCCCCCCCCCCCCATACATATATAATCTAAAAATCAGTATCGTGACATTAAGATGTTTGCATTACACATCATCAATGTGCATCTGTCATATTACTAGCTAATAATAAAAATAGAGACATAATGGTTATATGATCACTATTGGACACAACATTAGCATTTCCCTATAGGCCATGTTGTTCATGATCATTAGTGTCTTCGTTATTAGGAAGCTCATCTTCATATGTTTCATGCAATGAGAAGCCATCGTTGTTTGGTAGTCTTGGAAAATCCAACACAATTTCGAATGATATGCCTGGTTCATTCTCCTGAAATTCTTGCTGGTGTCCTTCGTCATCACTTGATTCTCCTCCCTCTTCTTTCTCCACAAAAGCTCGTGGCATGCATTGAATTACATAATGCCACCTGTTGATCCTCTTCCTTGTACTTGGATATGACACATACACAACTTGATCGGCCTGGGATGCTAGGATGTAGCAATCTAAAGTACGTAGTCGGAATTGAGTGTTCACGTCCACGAACTTGTATCGTGGATGAACTCTTGCACCTCTATCAGAAGGCTCAAACCATTCACATTTGAAGACAATTACCTTGTAATCCTGATATTCCAATTGAATTATTTCTTGTATTGAGCCATAGTATTGAAGTGTCGACCCATCATAACTTGTGCACTTGACCGTAACCCCGCAATTGGAGGTTGCTCTATCCTGAGATCGCGCAATAGTGTTGAATTTATAACCATTTATATTAAGCGCCTGGTAGGTTGTCACATAGGGAGAAGGAAATCCAGATAAAGCACGAACCCACCGTGGATGATCTGTCATGTCATTTTGCACCTAAACATAAACACATATTGCATCAATTATTTTATTCAACAAATTTAAGGCATGAACATATTCTCATTTAAGGAATAATTAGCTCCAAAATCTCACTTGATGATAAAACCAAAGAGGAAATTGTGTTTGTAACATTATATCATAGGAACTTGTTGGTCCTACTGCGTTGATGAACATTCTGTAATGAAATTGGAAAATATATTAAATCAGAGCACACATATGAGTGCAATAAAAATGTGTAACTACTACAACTTACTCCCTGAATGAGTCAATCTCCAGACAATTTTGCAATACATATGAGTGGACAGCATTAGATTCATTTTGGTCCATGTACCGCCTCGTGCTTGCACCAATTGTTTTTGCCTTCTGTGCAAAAACTGAAACACTAAAATCAGTGTTAATCATGCAACCATCGTCAAACCTGGGGATACGATGTGCTTTTGTGGCTACATCCTCTGGAAAATAATAGCTTGCAAATGTGCCCATTTCACTTTGTAAATAACCTTCCCTAATAGATGCTTCAACCCTAGCTTTATTTCCAATTTTAGTCTTCAGCACCGATCCCAAGAAACTACAACAATTGCACAAAATAAGATATCGAGTAAAAAAGTCACATGACTATATAAAAGTATTAATCACCCACCTTTCAAAACGATACATCCATCGATATTGTGGAGGCCCGCCGAACAAAGCCTCATCTGATAAGTGCACAACAAGGTGTTCTGTAGGGTCAAAGAACGAGGGTGGAAAAATCTTTTCCAACTTGCACAAAATCACAGGAATATCTTCCTTTAGCTTCTCAATGTCACACACCAATATAGTCTTTCTTGTTAACTCACGAAAAAATAAGCTAATCTCCGTAATTGCCTCCCATATCCAATCAGGCAACATCTCTTTTAAAGCAACTGGAAGTAGGCGTTGCATGAAGACATGACAATCATGGCTCTTCATACCAAATAACTTAAGTTTTTCCATTTGCACACAACGGCCTAATCGAGATGCAAAACCATCTGGGAACTTCAGTGAATCAATCCAGCTGCACAGAACATTTTTTTGTTCATTTGAGAGGGTAAAGGGAGCTTTAGGATATTTTCCACGAGAGTCTCTCCCCATGCTCGGTCTATGGCAAATACGCTCCATATCCATTCTCCCTTGTGTATGGTCCTTTGATTTTCCTGGTACTCCCAAAATTGTATATAAGATGTTTTCAAAGAAATTCTTCTCTATGTGCATGACATCAAGATTATGTCGTATGAGCAAATTCTTCCAGTATGGGAGATCCCAAAATATGCTACGCTTCTTCCATCCAATGTCTTTTCCAACAATTGCATTATGCTCTACACCACCCAATTCAGTAACTGACATGAAACTATTTACCTCATCATAGCAGTATGAGCCGTCCCTGTGGATCGGAGGACCATACAAGATTGATTTACCTTTAGTAAAATTATTTTCATCTAACCGAAATGGATGGTCACTTGGTAGAAACTTTCTGTGGTTATCAAACCAACTATGCTTCTTACTATGAGGTAGCCAAAATGCTTCAGTGAACTCAGTACAATAAGGACATGCAAACTTCCCCTTCGTGCTCCATCCCGATAGCATGGCATATGCTGGAAGGTCACTAATTGTCCATAACAAAATAGCTCTCATATTAAAAGTTTGCTTTGAAACTGCATCATATGTTATGGCACCAACCTCCCACAATTCTTTAAGCTCCTATACCAATGGTTGCAGGTACACATCAATTCCGTTCGCAGGATTCCTCGGTCCTGGAACTAATATAGTTAAAAATAAGAATTGCTGTTTCATACACATACCTGGAGGCAAATTATACGGTGTCACGATTACAGGCCAACATGAGTATTTTTGTCCAAATTGACCGAAAGGCTGAAACCCATCTGTGCATAGACCAAGTCGAACATTTCTTGGATCTTCAGCAAATTCCGGATAAAGATTGTTGACATGAATCCACGCCTTTGCATCTGATGGGTGACGCATTACTCCTTCCTCCCTGTGGTGATTTTTGTGCCACCTCATATCATCCGTTGTAGTAGCTGAAGCATAAAGTCGTTGCAATCTAGGAGTAAGAGGAAAGTACTCCATTTTTGCAAGAGGAATACGCTTATTTGTCTGCTTGCTAATGTCATACCTTGCCGTAGAGCAAAATTTACACTCCAGTAGCTCACTATCTGCTCTCCAATATATCATGCACCCTTTTGGACAACAATCAATGGATTGATGGCTCATTCCTAACATAGATAGTTTTCTTTTAATTTTTTTGAAATTAGGAATTGGTTTGTTTGGAATGTTTGATGGGAAAAACCTGTTTATGAATTGAGAAATTCTATCAGTTGCACTTTCTGATAAACTCATCTCTGTCTTTAAATTCAACATCTCTGTCATTGCACTCAACTGCGTCATTGGGCAGCCATCAAAACACGGTTGACTCATCGTATCTAACATTTCGTACATCTCTGTTGTGACTGGACAAGGTTCGTCCTCTCCAGCTTCATTGTGGTCAAATCCCATTGGGAGTTCATTCCTCATAGCATCTTCAAGCATTGATTTGTACGGATCATATTGCGCTCCAGATGTATTACCACGAGATGAACTACTCTCATCCAAATAAACTAAACCATTTGAATTGTTTGGCTCTCCGTGTGCTGCCCATACATAATAGTCTTCCACAAAGCCTTTTTCAAATAAATGCTGTCTAACAATCTCCCATGTCAACCACTTTTTATTCTTGCACTTTCTACAAGGACATGCAATAACACCGCTTGAATATAAGTCTACCGCCGCTTGAATAAACTCGGTAACTCCTTCCTTGAAATCTTCATTTAGAACCCCTCGTCTTGCAAGCCTTTTGTACATCCATGATCTATCGTGACTCATTTAGAAACCTATACAAGATATCATACTAAATAATGTTATTTATTCATATCATTAAATACTTTTGTTGACGGAATCACATTAATTAAATACTTAAAGAACTATGTCATTTTATTCACAAACACCTAAATATTGTATTTAAATACTAAATGAAACATCCACCACTTTTTTTTATCTTTCTCAACAAAAAATTAAAAACTTCATTTATATTTATTACTTTAATTTCTCAAAGTAGGACATCAAATCTATAGTTTTTAAAAACAAACACCATACACATTTACCAATATATTCAAAGAAGTAGATTGTTTTTTCATACTCACCATCTTAAACTAACATTAAATTTAAAGTTCATCACACTAAAATAATGTGAATGTTTTTATATCATTAAAGAATGGGCCAATTTTTTTCAATATAACCTAAATCTATGTTAAAACAACCAAAACGATGACTAATAATCATTCATTTATACATATAATTAATTAATTATTACAAAAGGATAATAAAAGATACTTTCTTCAAATAAAAGGACTAAGAAATCAATATTTTTGTGTATGCAAGAAAAAAATATGAAATCATATTTTTAGTTTAAATATTTAAGAATAACATCATATGATATATAATCAATTAATTAATATAAGAAAATTATAAATAATAATTAAAAGTAAGAGCTCTAACCTTGAAATCCCGTCCAGATTTATTTTGATAGAGAGATAAGGATAAGATATGTGTGTGGTGGAATGATGTGTCGGTGGTATGGGTAGGGATATAAAGTTCAAATTTAGTGACGGATTTTAGTGACGGATATATCCGTCTCTAATTGTTGACGGATAATTCCGACACTACTATCTGCCACTAATCAGTGTCTATCACATATCCGTCACGCTTTCCGTCACTAAACAGTGGCGGCTTTAATCGGACGCCAATTATTGACAGATGACCATCCGACATTAAATCCGACACTAATTACCGTCCAAATTTATATCGGACACAAAAATCCGACAGTAATTTCCGAATTTCTTGTAGTGTTAAGCCATTTCAAGGTGATATAAATTACTGTCATTGGAGAAACTCAGAAGATTGAAATATTCAAGTATATTAAAGATATGTAAAGATTCAAATATTTAAAAATTTAAAGACTTCAATTGAAATTTGTAATAAGTGAAAAATCAAAAGGCATAAGACTTGATTACTTTCAAAAGTTTACAAATGTTATCGCATAAAAACTTACTTTCAGTAGGGTAAAGGCAAATGAAACCAATTCTACGGTGGAATCAGCTCACAAAATATCTGTAGAAGGATTAATGTGTCATCCATCAGATTCCGCAACGTGGAAGCATTTTGACAGGTGTTATCCTCAATTTGCTTTTGAGCCGCACAACGTGAGACTTGGGTTATGTTCTGATGGTTTTACTCCGTTCGGTCAATTTGGAGGCCAGTTCTCATGTTGACCAATTATCATTACACCATATAACTCCCCCCAGGACATGTGTATGAAAAATCATTTTATGTTTTTATCATTGATGTGTCCAGGTCCTGGTAATCCAAAAAATAGAATTGATGTGTATTTGCAGTCATTGATCGAAGAGCTGAAACAATTGTGGGAAGTTGGTGTTCCTACATATGATGTTTCGAGGGATCAAATATTTAATATGAAAGCTGCAATTATGTGGACCATTAGTGATTTTCCAGCATACGGAATGTTCTCTGGATGGAGTACTGCAGGGGTTATGGGTTGCCCCGTTTGTATGGAAAAATCAAATGCATTTTGGCTAAAGAATAGTCGAAAAGCATCCTACTTTGATTGTCACAGGAAATTTCTCCCACCTAATCATCCGTATCGAAAGGATAAGAAGTCATTCATCAAGGGTCGCAAGGACCGCGATCCTCCACCTCCGATTTTAACAGGATATCAGATTTATGATCGTGTTCGAAACATCCCTTCTGCCATTGATGAGCCTCTTGAGTATCCAGATGGATATGGCATTTATCATAAGTGGACAAAGAAAAGCATTTTCTGGGATTTGCCATATTGGAAGGATCTTCTGATTAGGCATAATTTGGATGTAATGCATATTGAGAAAAATGTTTTCGATAACATTTTAAACACGGTTATGAACTTCAAGGGAAAGACTAAGGATGTCCTTTCATCAAGGAAATGCGACTGATTCGAATGAACTGCGACTGTCCGATTTACTTGTGTAATGAACAAACTCTTTAAATTTCTGTACTGGTTCTGGACATCTTCTGGAAATTTATTTGCCATTTCTACTTCTATTTTGGCAGTGGTTTATCTGCCTGGACTGCTGTAACATAATAATGTTCTGTTAATTTGTGCTCTTTCATTTGCTCTATAATTTGCAGGTGTGGTTCTATAATTTGCATGTGTAGTACATACTCTGTAATGTTTATCTTTTTGGACTGCAGTAGTATATGATTTCAGTTAAATGTTTTGTTTATAATGATTTGTAAAAAAATTGTACACCGTACATATGTACGGTATTCCGTACATATGTACGGTGTACAGTTTTTTTTTAATTAATTTTGGCAAAATATTTGGCACGAACTTATCCGAGCCAACAAACGGGTAAAGATTTGGCCTACCCGGTTTATTCCGGACCAATATCCGTGCCAAGTTAAATCCGAGCCAAACTTTTGGGGTAGTAATCGGTGTTGTTGTCTCTGAAATTCCGTGCCCAATGCCGAGCCAAGAGTTGGCGCGGATGACGTTTGGCACGAGCCAGGTGCGTCGGATTTCAAATCCGTGTCTAATTCGAGCCAAAAGCGATAGTCTGGGATTTTTGTGAAGCGATCTGTGCCAAAATCCGACCCAATGACGACTTTTTTGGTAGTGTTTGATTGATAAAATTTTATTTGGAATGCAAAGATAAATCTGGTTGTGAACAACTCGACATGCATCATGTTGTGGCAGACCCATACGGAGAATTGGGGGGGGGGGAGGATTGGAGGAGTGTGTGCGTTAGAATTGTGATGGAGAAAAAAAAAACGACGAAGCAGTAGCAGCGGAGAAGAGAGCGCACCGGCTAGCCAAGGAGATGGATTGTTTTTAATTAGAAAAATGGTGTCGTATTGGGACAGACATACCATGCTCATGGTATGCCGGTCCTACGGTATAATTTGCGGTAGAAATACAGTCAGCTCAACACTTCAACCCTAGAACTAAGATTATTTATATACGAATGGATTTTGATATGTGTTTAAGACTACAACACTTAATTAAGTCCAAGCTTTTACGGCATTTCATTAAAAGATAAACTATTTTGATGTAACCATTTTCTCTCATTTTGAGATTCCCGTATAGGGAATCTCACCATGCTTAGGTCATATGCTGGTAAATTTCCCTATTAAATACTAATATTTAAATCGTTTGAAGATCTAAAATCTTTAATTATTGAAGATCAAGCTGCTATATGGTTAAGCCATTTCAAGGTGATATATATTACTGTCATTGGAGAAACTCAGAAGATTGAAATATTTAAGTATATTAAAGATATGTAAAGATTCAAATATTTAAAAATTTAAAGACTTCAATTGAAATTTGTAATAAGTGAAAAATCAAAAGGCATGAGACTTGATTACTTTCAAAAGTTTACAAATGTTATCGCATAAAAACTTACTTTCAGTAGGGTAAAGGCAAATGAAACCAATTCTACAGTGGAATCAGCTCACAAAATATCTGTAGAAGTACAGCCATATAACCTTCAGAATTGTACAATTCCGTTTTCTGTATCGTTTATATCAAAATTTTAAGGTTCTAACGAACCAAAATTGTAACAGTACGTGGAAGAATTGGATAGTGTCCCAGTTTTACCAATACATACAACTGTAAGTGCTATATATATGCAAGCAAAGAAAAAGATCAAACAAGCTTCTTTTGCTCAAAGAATTTCTTGAGATGCCACATCTGGAGAGCAGCGACGGACATGCAGACCACGAGAGAGAGAAAACTGAATGTCGCCATCTTCGTGTTTGTTGCTCTCGTCAGTGCCTGCATTTCCTCTCCCCTGCACACCATGGTTCAGTTAAGGTTAAATAAAGAAATTGCCCAAATGTGAACAAAAATGTTTCAGAATTCAAAATAAGAGTGTTATGTTTTTATTTCACAGATAAGAGCAATTACCGCTAATCTTGGAAAATTCGTACTACCACTTATTGTAGTATGTTGTCATGTTTAAAATCAGGTAATGACAAAATGTGGTTGTAAATATTCAGGAAAAAGTAACGTTAACGTACTCTTATTTAGGAAAAAACACATTATTTCTATTATGGAATTTTAAAACGTTTTCTCATATTTCGAGAATTTTTCCAATATATAGTTTTATAGAAATAAGTTAACCTTTCAAACAGAGGGTATATCTGGTTGGGCAGATACAAACGCAAATTTGAGATAAACTTTTACTTATCTTTTACACCTAAATTCAAAGCACATTTTTTTTAATGTTTTAGCCTTATTGATGAAATTCTCTTATAATCTCATTAGTGTACATAAGAAGAAAGGTTCACTCCATACTGGGAGTTGAGTTGTTGAGGTGTAGAAATTTGATTTATGCGTTTGATTTTAAATGGCAAGATTTTTTTTATCCATGGTACATTTCACGTATCTTACTTTAACAATACTTTTTTATTAGTGTATACAGCGGATCAACTTCATTTCTATCTATTTTTATTCAATATTAACTTTTTATATTTTTTTGTTAATCCAATAATGCATAATTAATTAAATATATTAATTATCAAATGTTTAAAAAAGAAAGGGTAGAATATCTTGCCTTGCTCGAAGGTAGTACATCTCATCGTGAATGGTTAGTACTGTATCGAACATTTTTCTTAGCTCGAATTCCACTCCCTGTAACCCAAAATATATACAAATAAAAAAATATAGATTTATTATTTGTGTACGAGGAACATACACAAAAACTTTAAGCCAAAAATTTCATCTGGAATCACCTCAAATTGAGGTGGTCGGACCAGAGTCTTGTCTCGCCTGGCCGGACAGGAATATTCATGTACATACACACAGGTTTTGGTTCAAATAAGAACATGATCTTATGAGAAAAATGATAATGAATCTGGACCGTTAGATTTGCTTTATGTGAAATTCAATGTGCATTAGATGAAGTTGTCATGTGCATTAGTTCCACATAATTCAATTCAACGGTCCAGATTCGTTCTCATTTTTCTCCTAAGATCTGTTCTTACCGGAACCTCTCTCTCTCTCTCTCTCTATATATATATATATATATATATATGAGGAAAATTGATGTCCGGAATTCCGGATAGGAACTGCCGTCCGGACGACGGTGTTTGGCCGCTTTCCCGGTCGAATTTTTTGATAAATTTTTTATTTCATGTTTTTCATCAAATGTAGTTTATCCACACAAAAATTCAACTAAAAACTCAATCGGGAAGGTTGTCAAATGATTTTTACAAGTTAACTGAGTTTTATATGTATTTTCCGATTGAGTTCTTAGCTGAATTGCTATGTGGATAAACTAGACTTGATAAAGAATATGCCATAAAAATTTCATCAAAAAACTCCACTGGGAAAGTCCCCAAAAACCGTCGTCGGGACGACGGTTCCAGTCAGGAATTCCTGACCGGAACACTACTCTCTATATATATACACTCTGTATAAAATATTATAGAATTAATTACTTGTATTTGGCGTTTCTTGGCGATTTTGGACCAATCAATGGTGGCATAACCGGACTTCCATTCGAAGGCGATGGAAATGGTGGTAGGAGGAATGTGCTCAGCTGCCCAGAAGCAAATCTTGTACTCACCCTTCTCTGCTGCTGTGAATGCAAAATTCCCGTGATCTGTATCTACCGCATAGTGATAATATTGCCCCAACGGTGAAGTCACCTGCATTACACAATATTTTTTACACAATTTATTACACACCAGTTGCACATAAAAATAAAAATTAACATAAAATTTTGGATTAGTTTTCCCATTATGTTAACATTTAGGATGAAATCGTAAAACTTAATATGGTATCAGATTAAATTAAGTTACAACGTGGTGCAATTAGATCCTATTAAAACCTAAAAATGAATACACAGTGACACAGATTATAATATTTATCTGCTCCATGAGCATCACTTTGCGGGCCTATTAAGTTATTCCAGACGGAGTATTAAACTGTACGTTGCGTATAAGAATACAAATCAACATATAAACACCCCTGAGGCCAACAGTTCACAACTAAATGCCACGTATTATCCTTCATTTTTTAACCGCAACATGTTAAATTTTACGGTATTCACATACTCTATTTTGACTACATTTTACACTACTATTTTATGAAAATTATTTTTTTCAAAACACATTGTTCAATTCATCTCATTACAAATTTTCAATATCTGATTCTTAATTTTTTTTTACTAATAGACAATATGATACGGTCAAAGATGTGTCACTGAGTCACTTACTTCATGACTTAATTTTAAACTAATAAATTTATGTATATTAATAAGTGGAAAAGGTCAGGTCGAACAAAATTAGTCTTTTTGTTCGTGTAAAATGTACCTCATGGCAACTATATTTTAAGATGGGCAAATTTATTACTAATTCTGTTCGACTAACATTCAGACATGATGAGGTGACATGATTGTTAAGAAAAGTGGATTTCCATGATAAAATAAAAAAATAAAAGAAGAATGCTTAACAATTACTCAATTTTTACCAAATTTAATTCTTTCATATGTCAATTACTCGTATCATATAGTTTAAATACATATTTATAGCGATAGTTATAGCGAAGGCATGTAGGGTTTAATCGTGGAGTTTTGACAATCTTTGTTTCGTTGCTTGTACATTGGTTTCCTTTCGTTTTATCACGAGTAAGTTTGGTTTGAATATTTGGAATACTTTTGATATATTGTGTTTCAGTTCCGATTGTTTTATGTTTAGATTTTGTCGTTTTGTTTCTAAGGAATCAGATTGTTTTGTATGAGATAACTGTCCGGATGTTATTTTGTATGATTTCTCATTATTAATAAAAAGTCGTTTTTTTATATCCAAAAAAATACCAAATTTAATATGAGACGATTTTAGTGGGATCAATCAAAAAATAAAGTGACAATGGATGAAGTGAGTACTTTAAAGACAAAATTACAAGACTAAAAATTAAAGAGAAAATATTCCTAATATTAATAATAATAATAATAATGATGATGATGATGATGATGATGATAATAATAATATATTATAATAATCATCATCATCAAGGATAAAAAGGGTGGCCGGAAATGTAAAAAGAGATCGGATTGGTGGCGATCAGGCGATAGACGCGCAATATAATGAATGGAGGAGGCAATTAAATTAAATGCAAGTAATTAATTACCCGGACGGTGATCTTGTGGGATTTGGGGACGGGGAGATCGATGATAGGGTTGATGATGGAGTATTTTCCGATGGTCATCGTATTCACCTGCATCTCCTCTCTGATGCACTTCGACGATCCCGACCTCACGTCGATTCTCAGCGCCTCCACCGCCGCCCCTCTTTTGTCGTAGTGTATTAGCAGCAGCAGCGCCGCCGCCGTCATGATAACCTGCAGCGTCCTCGGCGTCTTCATTCTCCCTCCGGCCGGCCGGGATTGAATTGAATTGGAGCGCGTACACCAACTGTTCGATCGGAGTACCTGTAAGTAATCTCTCTCTCTTACCGATCCCCTACTTCTTTGCAAGTTCGTTACACTCCTTGAAGCCAGCAAGCATGCTTCGGACTTTCAATATTTGCTTGTTTTTATACATTGAGTTGTTTAATTCCGAAAATTGTGCATGTGAATATGATTTTCTGACTGTCATGTGAATATGATTAATGATTTTTTTTTTTGAAAGATGATTCTACTCCGAAGTTTATATGTCTTGCTCTCCTCAATTCTCTCCTTTTCTATGAGAATGACATGTGACTTTTTTCACTCAAATGTACTCCGTATTTTTGAACACCGGAAGGAAAGCAAGGGTTGGCGCACGACATGTATTTGGTGGGGCTCAAACTATAAAAAACCTAAATTTTATTTAAAGTGTTACTCTCTTCGTCCCGGAATTATCTTCATTCTTTCCTTTTCGGTTCATCCCAAATTTATCTTCTCTTTCCTTTTTTGGTAAAGAATTTGTGGTTCACAACCATTCTTACACATTTCTCTTTCCTCTGCACAACTCTCCACCACATATTTCTCACTATCTTAAAACTCGTGCCCAGTCAAATAAGGAGATAATTCCGAGACGGAGGTAGTATAACTTTTTCATTTTTGCTCCAATTTTTATAAAAAATATATCAAAATTCATAATTTTTTGTGATCTTTCATTTGAGATCAATATTGAATACATAAAAATACAATTTTTTAACGGTTTCTATAATTATGTATAAAATAAAATTATACTCCCTTCATCCCAATTGATAGTCCTGTTGCGGTTTATGATACTTGACCGAAGATAAAGCAAATGAATTTTTGTTCACACTCAAATTATTTGTAGCAAATAAAATTTACATATTCGGAAACTACATTAAAAATTTAACAAAGTCGCAATAACCTCAATCAAATTTCATAAAAATTTGATATAAAAAGTAAAGGTGAAAATAATTAAAACACCTCAAACTTTGAAGGGTGTGAGATTAGCAGCCCAAACTTGCATATGTAATTTAAATACGTCAAACTTTATATAAAAAGTTATTTTAACACCACAACAACGTAACTATTATTTCTTTCAAAAATGTAAAATTTATGATGTTAATTGAATAATTTAAAATATTTTGGAATTCACTCATAGACAATTAACATTTTAAGCTTGCATTAGGGAAAAATAATGTTACCTCCAATCTATATAATTGCAACACTTTAATTTTCTATTCTTAAATTATGCAATTAACCTTATAAATTTACATTTTTGAAAGAAATAATACATTACAATGGTGCAAAAATAACTTTTTATTTAAAGTTTAGGGTATTTAAATTACATATGCAAGTTTAGGGTATTTACCTCACATCCATTCAAAGTTTGGGGTATTTTTATTATTTTCCCCAAAAGTAAATGATTAAGAATAACTTGAAAATGAACTAGGACCATCAAATTGGGACGGAGGTAGTATAATTTACACACTCTTCATGTACACTACTTTGACTACCTTTTATTTATTATTGTATGTGAATTTTTTTTTTTGAAAATATTTTTGAATTCGTCTCATTACAAAGTTTCATAATTTGATTTTTAATTTTTTTACTAATAGGGAATTAAATATAATGATGGTCAAAGTTGTGCATTAGTAGCCTGAAAAAAGGAAGGTTACAACTAAAAAAGAAAAGAGGATAGTATAATGCTATTAGGCACAAGATAAGTCACCTAACAATTGAGCCGGAGAACTCTCTCTCTGCAATATGTAATGCTTTCCGATATAAGGTAAGTCGAGTAACAATTCAATGAGATAAATTTCTCTCTCATATGTAGTGATTTTAGATACAAGAAGATAAAGTTTCTAATAATTAAGTGAGAGAATTTTCTCTCTCTCATATGTAGTGCTTTTAGGTATTAGAAGATCATCTTGCTAACAATTGAGCGGGATAAATTTCTATTTCATATGTTGTTCTATTTAGTATATAAGATAAGATAAGCCTACAACGACAATTGAGAGGGATAATTTTCTTTTTAATTTGTATTGCTTTCAGCTATAATAAGAAGCTAAAAAGACAAGCTTGCTAACAATTGATCATGATAATTGTCTCTCTCATATGTAATGCTTTTTAGTATAAGGTAAGATAAGTCATCTAACAATTGAAGGGAATTTTTTCTATCATATACACCCTCCGTCCCGAAAAGGTTGGTCAAATTTCATTTTTTGGTTGTCCCAAAAAGATTTGTCATTTTCATTTAAAGTAAGGAATATGTGGCTAAAATTAATTTTCTCTCCTTTGCACAAATTTCAACCACACAATTTTTACTTTATTAATTCACGTGAAAGTCAACTTTGGCCAACCTTTTCGAGACAGAGGGGGAGTATAAGAAAGGAGATAGCTCATCTAAAGACAATTATACCCTTCATTAATTATATATTTCCATCTTTCCACAATTCCTCTTTTGCTTTGAAAATGACATGTGACCACGTTTTACTTCAAAGCTACCGAATCAAGGAAAGGAAGAGCAGCCGGAAGGGAAATGGAGTTGGTGGGCCCAAGTTATAAAAAAATCTAAATTTGTTTAAAGTGTTATAACTTTTTCATTTTTGCTCCAATGTTTCTAAAAAATATACCAAAATTCATAATTTTTTGTGGTCTTTCATATGAGATAAATATTGAATATATAAAAATATAATTTATTATCAGCCTCAATAATTATGCTTAAAATTATTTATATTTATATACTCCATCTGTTCCATAAAATTTGGCCAAAATTGACTTGCACGTAGAAAAATAAAATAAAAATTGTGTAGTTGATATTTAACGGACCATGAAAGAAGCATTGTAGAAGATTACCAAAGGTAATAAGAAGCCAAATCGAACTGAATTTAGAAAAATGAAAATAAACTTGCGAATAAAAGTTCACACTATTCATAATTATAAGCTTCCCATTGATCTTTGGAGTGTTGGTGTGGCTAAAATTCATTTACCTTTTTCTTACTCAACCACAACCTCACTTTTCCACTTTCTTCTCACTTTCTTTGAGCCCATTTGCTAATACCAAAATCGATTGAATCGGTTGATTCTGCTGAAATTAATGAAGTTCTGGCAGATATCGCCGGAGTGGCTGATTTTGCTGATTTATGAAAATGTAGAAAAACTTATATAAAATAGCTAAAATGATCCTCTACGGTAACTTCAGCCAACACAGTCAGAAAAGTAACTCTAGCCTTACTTTTTCTTATTATTGTTACACAATTCAGATCGTGAAATCAAGAAATACGTGTTTGATGAAAAAATGGTCGATAAGCGTGATAAGTCAAAAAACAGGATTACGAAACGGGCTTTAAACTCCGATCCAAGTCAAACTGAGAATAATTTTATGGGACGAGAGAGTACTACTATTATTATTATTATTATTATTGTCGGTGAATCAAATCACCTTTACAAGTAAAAAGGATGAGAATATTAGAAAATCACATTTCATTAAAAATATAAATATACTTGAATTTCAATTTGGTCATTATTGTGGACTTTCAATTTTGTACATGCAAGTTAGATAGACTTACGAAAGGGTACCAAATGATTCTCAATCTAGCATCTAGAAGAATATTTGAACAAAAAAATGCACATTTCTTACTATGTAATGGCCTTTGAAATAAATACTATAATAGATTACCAACTAGAATAAGAAGCCAAACCAAACCTGAAGAAACATCAAAATAAACTTACGGAAATAATACTCACATTATTCATAATAATGAGTGGGATAATTTCTCTGTCTCATATGTAGTTATTTAAAGTATGAGATAAGTCAACTAACAATTGAGCGGTAGAATTTCTCTCTCTCATATATATATAGTACTACCTCCGTCTCATTTTATGTGTCTTCTTTTGGTTTGACACAATTATTAATAAAATGGTTGAAAAAACAAAAATTGTGGTTAAGATTTGAGTATAATAAAGTGAAATCTTGTGGACCACATGTTTCTTTCCAAAAAGGAAATGTGAACATAGTTTGGGACAACCTTAAAAGGAAAAGTCAGACTCATGAAATGGACTAATAAAATGCGACCGAGGGAGTATAATATTATGGAAGTTACAAATTTTATACTTTTATGAATGTACTTTCGACAATGAACATTTTCGTATTATTTTTATATTATTAATAATTTCTAATAAAAATATATAGTTGGTCAAAGTGTTAAAAATTATTTCTAGTGTTACTTTTGATTTGGGAGAGACGGTATTAATTTTTAGTAATGCAATAGTATCATGAACTAATTATTTAGGTCTTGTACTTTTTTCCCCATCGGTAGAACTAGAAGTGTTGATCGTTGATGTTTTTGTTGAAACTGATGTGATCTTTTTCCTACTTGGAAGCTGGAAGAATAAGTTTTCGCATTATTATGTACATATATATAGTATTAAGCTCACATCAGTTGAACTGCTGGGAAAAGAAACAAAATGCACAAGATACATTCATATTAATCAAGAGTATAAAGTAACTCATCCATACTGCAGAAATCAAAGTTGTCTGTCATTCAACAACAACAACAACATTCAAATTCACAAAGTAATAAACATTTGAAGTTGCATCCAAATGGTTCAAAGAATAAAAGCGGGCCTGCAGATAGGTCTGTCTTATTCAGCAGATGAGATTTGTCCATCAACAATGTCTCTGTATATATACCATCCATCCATCTCAGAAAATGATATCCTCATCATGCTGTGGGGTCAAAAGCAAGTTATGTGCAGCACCAAGCGAAACGCCTTTTCTCAAAGACAAATCCTCAGCGGCCTTCTCCCCAGCAAACTCTCTAGCGGCAGCCATCTGTTTCTCAATCTCTCTCTTCTTGAACCCTTGTATCTTCTTCAACCTAAAGAAGTCCTCTCTTTCCAACTCATCAAGCTCTCCCTTGATGTAGTTAACTGTGTTCTCCAGCCTCGGCTTGACAACGTTCTCAAGCGCATTAACCCTCCGGTTTGTGGTCTTGATTGCCTCATCAAGTGTGAGAAACGATGTTTGCAAGGATGCCAGCTCAACAAGCAACTCGATTGCTTTGACATAGGCAACACGGCAGGCTTGGACCTGTTGCCCGCCCCTGGCTAACCCTGTCAAGTCATTCTTTGTCTCTCCTGCTTCAGAGAAATGCTCAAACTTAGGGAGCTTGACACCAGCTATGTTTTCTTGACGGGAACGCACCTTGAGAGTTGCAGTCCCCACATTTTCAAGAACAGTGTGTTTAATGTTGTTGCCGGCTGAGTATTTGGCCTCTGTTAGAGCAAAGGCAGAAGTTTTCATGATCTCTCCCATCGATTCTTTAGTGGAAACGATTTTCTTTAGGATCTGTCTAAACTTCACAGTTAGAGCGTCACTTTTTTTCTTGAGCAAAGCATGGCCTCTCGTGGCCCCAACAAGGCGAGCTTTGACTACGCCAAGCACTGTCACAGTAGGGACCACATTTAAGCGCTGGTTTTGCCCGGCCATTACTGTCATTAAAAACAATTAAGATAAAGTACTAGCAGTACACATCCAGTTTTTTTCTTTTACTATTATACAAACAACTGAAACAAGACATTTCTACTACTTCTAGCACACAACAAAGCACCATGTATAATGTTATCTCTTCAAAATCAACCAAATTTAGTTCCTCATAGCTGAACTAACATGTCAAGACCTCAGACTCTTTTTCATTTGGCTGAAATTTTCAGGTCTAGTTGAGACTGAATTGGTCTGACTGGTTTGGTATTCTTTGATACTACCTCTATGCCCAAATACTTTGTCCTCTTTAACACTTTGACCAACTATATATTTTTATTAGAAATTATTAATAATATAAAAATAATACGAAAATGTTCATTGTCTAAAGTACATTCATAAAAGTATAAAATTTGTAACTTCCATAATATTATACTCCCTCAGTCCCATTTTATTAGTCCATTTTATTAGTCCGACTTTTCCTTTTACGGTTGTCCCAAACTAAGTTCACATTTCCTTTTTTGGAAAGAAACATGTGGTCCACAAGATTTCACTTTATTATACTCAAATCTTAACCACAACTTTTACTTTTTCAACCATTTTATTAATAATTGTGTCAAACCAAAAGAAGACACATAAAATGAGACGGAGGTAGTACTAATCACAATCATGGGATTGAGGGAGTATAGTATATAGAAGTTACAAATTGTATACTTTTATGAATGTACTTTCGACGAGATTGCGAACTTTACGAGATTGCGAAGATTTTATAGACAGAGGTAGTATTATGTAATGCTTATTTTTACAAATATAAGTTATATTCTTAACCTATTAAAGATGGATGGGTTCGATCTGTAATTAAACGGGCATTTATGACCTAAGATCGGGTAAGAGTAATTTTCCCACATACAAGGGATGTACGTAGTCGAATTAATCTGTTATAAATACAAATAAAAAATGTATTTAAAATTAGAGTATAATAAAGTGAAACTTATGTGAAACGTGAAAATAACATATATAAAGTGCTTAATCGAAAGCAATGGCTCACAGACGATCTGCACAGTACTGGTTCAGATTTGGAAATTCGGCCATCTAAAAAACATGATTAAACACCTTTCGTTTAATTAAAACAAAAGCCTAACTTTTATTGAGAATATTAGTTAGTTTGAGAGTTGAAGCAGGGAAGAAAGGGTGTAGAAGATGAAATACTTGAGTATGGAAGAACGGTGAATTGTCGTGGAGGCCAGAGCCAAACTTGGGGAAATTGATGGGATGTTTCTAGGTGTCGGACTTAGGAGGGAGTATTCATTCTAGACTTTGTAAAACACCTTAAGATTTGTATTAGTATGGGCTTTGAATGGGCTTTTTATGACTGAACAGATTTCATGGGATTTGTGTAGATTTCAACACGAGACATTCAGAGACATTGATGATAAGTATTATTGGTAGCCTAAAAAAAGAATATTAATGTTTTTAAATGGCTTCATGAAATGATTTTAATGCAAAATATAACAACAATTACAAAATTAATCACAATATTGCATTTTTGGTTTGAAATACACAGAAGTAATTGTTGAGTCATGAACACAAATAAGTTTCACAAAATTTAAAAATAGAATATAAAAACAGCGCATCTTAAGATTCATGCAACAAAATCACATCTTAAGATTCATGCAATCCCATTCTGGATTGGCAACATCAACCATTAGCCTAAAAAGTTCATTACTTTCTTGTTTGATCCAAATTCGATATCCCGGACTTCGATCACTTCTTTGCAATGAAACTCCCAGAAAGATCCTAATTTTAATCAAGCTATGGTATATTACATACACTGATAAACACCAAGTCATTACCACCGGAATTTTAGAACTGACTTTCATTCTTAAAATATTTTAGGATGCAAGATTAATAAGTATAAACACAAATGTGGAAAATTAGTTCAGAAAGGTCTATGACTCTTCTTCTGTACTTCCGGTAAGAAGGGTATTGGCCATATTGCAGCCATCAAAAAACGAATACCCAAACAGAATAAACTATGCTCATCTATAAAATTATTAAAAAGATGACAAGTTTAATTAGCGATTGACAAAATGAAAACTGCAGTCCTATCAGTAAGATGTATATAAAAAATATAGTATGAATCACTAGAATGTAATATAGTTTTTGGGGAAACGGGTGAATTAGAAAACTATTGTCAATTCTTCTCCTGAAAATATCATAACAAGTGCCAATATATTCAGCCAATTACAAACCCATTATTTGCTTAGCTTACAGAAGCAAAACTTGAAGCTTTCTTATCTTAACAGAGCAATTGAGAACTGAATTTGAAAACACAAAAACTGTGTGGTACACAACAATGCTTCGTAAGCATACTTGGCAGCCTTATTTGGGTAAATTTAGGGGTGTTTGGAACTGATTCTACTTCTACTTCTTTTTTAAAAGCAGAAGCAGAATCAGAATCAGTTTTCTCGCTCTCAGCTTCTAAAAAAACAAACTGATTCTAGGAGTAAATTAGAGCACCAAATCACTTCTTCACTTTCACCCAAACACTCCAACTTCTGCTCCCTGAAGGAGCATAATCAATTTTAAGAATCGGATCCAAACACCTCCTTAATATGACATTGTGTATATTCTAGGAGGGCTTATTAAAAAGGATTTGTATTATATAAGAGAAGAAGCTGCCGGCGCCACTCATATCTTATGCGATGGTCGGTCGAAGAAATCCAGATAAGCTCTTGTACGCTACTTTGCCGGATAAAAAAATCAAGATCCGAGATAAGAGAGATGCTAATCATAACAATTTCAGCAATATGATGATCACCCGATTGGATTCCATGAGCAAATATGAAAGAAGATGGTAAAGAAATATGTACCTGAACCCTAGAGAGATGGAGCGGCAGTTCTTGGCGTTCCAGAAGTTCTTCTGTTTTCTCCTAGTATCCCAAATCTCACGTTTGCAGCTGAGACTTTGGCAAGCGATTTGCCTTTGTAGTTTCCAATTCCAAAAACAATACTCCCTTTTTTCTTTTTTTAACATTTTAAGGTTCTAATTTCCATTTTAGGAAACGATTAACAATCTTAAGTTATAAATTAATCATTAAATATTAAAAATAATACATTTATAGCATCACAATTGTCAATACTAACTACATTATAATATATACCTATTAAAATTATTTCTCAAAATATACTTGAAGTACTTTATTTAATTATTGCATAAATAACCGTGTCGTTTTGCTATGAGAACGAATGGAGTACAATTTGCTTTGCCATCCCAAAAAGATACTCAATTTAGGCACCTTTTCCAAACTCTTAAAACAAAAGTGCATCCCAACTTTTGACTTAAAAGAGTTAAAAAAGTGTTTTCAAGTAAGAACTTCTATTTAAATTAATATTTAAAAGCTAAAACCTAGAATCTGCTTTTTACTTTTTGTTATTACACAAAAATCACTTATTTTACCAAACATTACCAACTTTAATTTTTCTAAATCAAATTTTTCTCAAACGCTACCAACTTTTACTATTAAACACTTTTTCCAAAACCACTTTAAAAAGTTCAAAAGCACTTATGAATAGTAGTGTATGCAAATAAAGCCTTAACTTTTAAAAATACAATTTTTTCCCTGTATTTTTTTCAAAAAAAAAACCATGTATTTTGGTTTTTTTAAATAAGACTAAATATTACATTTCTACTCTCAATATAATTAATTTTCCTATGATTTCCATGCATAATCAAGGTCCTGACGGGTCAGTCCGGATGCATAAAATCTTCACTAGTTTTCAATTTTCACTGGCTTCAATTTCTTGTTAAACGATCTCGTGTGGAGCCATTGTCATAGGATGCAACCTCAATAAGATTAGTTGACGATCACATGTCGATCCTTATTTATTGTAAACATTTATCTTTTTTTGTAAAACGTAAACATTTGCTTTGATATACTTGTATGTAAAAAAATAGTGCAATAAAATAATACGGAGTATAACTATGAGTTGAATTAATGAAAATTAAACGACCGACATAAAAATGTATATTCTGCTTAGAAATTGAGCAAAAAATAAACCAATTACATTTTGATCAACATGAAACTAAAATCATTATTTTTGCGAAAGACAAATCTGGTTCACTTTCACTTTCGTGTATATATATGCACCTAAAAATACATCTTATTAGCAAATACTCCTTTCGTCCCATTGAAAGGTTCTCATCCACTATTCTCCGATCAACGCGAATTGTTCTTAATCTTTTACTTTATCTATCCAACTTTTATCAAATTTAATTTTTCTTGATTAGGTATTATAAAACTTTTAATGTAGTTTTTGAAAATGTAAATTTTATTTACTAAAAATAATCTTATTAATGATAGGGATCAGTTAACTGTATGTTCAGTCAACTTCGTAAACCACGTGGGAACTTTAGCTTTAAGTGGAATATAATGGAAGGAGTAACTGTTACTTCATTGATCCAATATATGAGTATATGACATTCTAAAATGACCAATTTGTTCTAAAATATATATGCTCCATATAATAATACCTTCTTATCAATAGGGGGTATGTTTAACAAAATTAATTACTACCTCCGTCCCGAAATAATCGTCCTGGTTTGACCTTCACACAGATTAAGAAATTGAAGTTGACTTCACACTATAGTGGCACTGTTTGGCACTGTAGCGACACTGTTTGGCACTGTAGCGACACTGTTTGGCACTGTTTTGCACTGTGTGATACTGTTTTGTATAGATTTGTTTACCAAATAAGAAAAGGAGACAATTATTTCGGGACGGATCAAAAAGGAAAGCAGAACAATTATTTCGGGACGGAGGGAGTATCATTCTAAAACATGATTTTAGTTTCGTGTTAACCAAAATGTTTATGGTTAACATCTGGAAAAAGGAGAAGGAAGTAAGTAGAAAAGAGTTCGAATGAATTACTACATCTGTTCCTATTATAACTTCCAAATAGGTTTGGGACACAATTTAAGATAGTGGATATTGTGTGGTGAAGAGTTGTGTAGATGAGAGAGAAATGTGTAAGAAATGTTGTGAATCACAAATTCTTTACCAAAAAGGAAAAGTGAAAGTTTTAATTAGAACAGACGAAAAAGGAAAGTTGCAAGTTATAGGGAGATTTCCCAAAATAGGAGTAAATGAAGTTTGAAATTCCAAAATAGGACTACTTTGTTTTTATTCCCGAAATGAGACTAACATGGCAGTATTTACTGTCATCTTGTAGCCGTGACTGTCAAATAGTTGCAGTACAGTGCATTTAACATGACAATATTTATTATAATTAATGACAGTATTTTTCAATCATGGCAGTATTTTTCATACATGACAGTAATAACTCTTATTTCGAGAAGAAAAACATACTAGTCCTATTTTTGGAATTCCAAGTGTCATTTGCTTCTATTTTGAGTAATTTCCCGAAGTTTTAATAGGAACGGAGGGAGTAATTTTTAATCGGTAAAGTAGTCAAAGAAGAAAATAGTGTCATCCATTGAAAATAGTGTCATCCATTGAAAATAGTGTCATCCATTGAGATAATATACTCCCTCCGTCCATCAATACTTTGCCATGTTTGACCGGCACGGGAAATAATAAAGTAAAAACTGTGTGGTACAGAGTTTTTGTGCAGAGGAGAGAGAAATGACAGGAACCACAAATTCATTGATTAAAAGGGAAAGTGGCAAAGTTTTTGGAACATCCAAAAAAGGAAAGATGGCAAAGTTATAAGGAACGGAGGGAGTATAAGCTAGTGTGCTCAATTCAATGATAAAATGAGAATTGATGATACTACATTCAGACATTCGGTGCTTTAGATTGACATGCGGTCAACTCTTCTCATGTCGATGATATATCTAAAGTTATTACAACAAAAAAGTCTTTTCTACACACTCTTATACACACTTTTGTACACACCTATGTTTGTGAAAATGTTTTTTTGTCTGTGAACATCGGCTCGCAGACAATGTTTTGCACAAACAAAATATTGTCTGTAAATTGGATTACAGACACAACAAAAGTTTCACAAACATGATGTGTATAAAGTGTGTACATCAAGTAATTTTGTTATTACAAATAGAAGAATGGACAAAAAACTTGTTGAGAGAATAAAGGTAAATCAAGACTGATGGAAGATTGTTTCACTTCGAATAATGCCAAGAAAACAATGTGACAACATTATACATTTGAGCAAATCTGCAAATGAGATGCAGGAGAGCAATGCAAATTTACTTCTTCTTTTTTTGAGCAATGCAAATTTTACTTTTGAGCATAACTTCAAATCTGCAGTTTAAATTTGAAGAAATCAGCAAAGAGCACATACACAAACAAAAAAACTTTGTTGAATTTGAATGCCTACTCGTAACTACCAGGAACATATGAAGAGGGGACAACCCCGACAAAGCCTTCTCAATATCCTTTTCATTGCATGTTCTATGTCTAACATTTTTCTCCAAGATCTCTTATGTCTCAAAAATACTTCTCTAAATAAAAGATGGATTATTTTCCAGTCTAGCTATTAAAAAACTAGTGTCAGAGAAATATCTCTCCTTTAAAACCTGCACCACCATGAGGCTCCCCATATCTGTTATTAATTTCCATCTTTGCTCCTTTTGGTTTATACAAAAGATCTCATCTCCTCCACCTTAGGTCTTTTTTATTGAATTTAGACTCTTTCCACCAAAGGTCATTTATGAGTTTCTCAATTTCATCACACAACTCCCTCGTCATCAAGAAAACATTCAAGCAAGCATACGTGGGTATAGCTTTAACTGTTAGAAAATAGAAGAGGTTGTTGGTTGTATGAGTAGAATAAGTGATTTTAGTGAGGTGTAATGTAGATGATGTGTTTTAGAGGAGAGCTCTTGTCTCTAGAAAAGTAGTATTGTATTGATGTTTCTTGGTTTTGCTTGGTTTGCAAATGAGTACAATGAGTCCTATTTATAGGAGCTAGAGGATCATTCTAGATCCTTATTAAATGCTATGATTCTAGAGTATTCTACATCTATGTCTAATTACTCTAGATTTTACATAAGAATTCTCTAGTAGAGAATTTTCTAGAATACTTTCTAGCTTTAACTCTCTAGATCATCTCTAGCCTTTTCTACATAGAATATTCTAGATAAATGCATTACTATTTAATACTCCTCCTTGATGCATTTGTCGGTGACTCCAAGCATTCTTCGCAGAAACTGGAATCTGTCTCTTGGCAGGGCCTTCGTGAAAATATCTGCCAATTGTTCTTCTGTTGGGCAGTACTTCATCTCAATATGCCCCTTTGCTTGGACATCTCTCAAGAAGTGATACTTGATATCGATGTGCTTAGTACGATTGTGCTGAATTGGATTTTTAGCCATCGCAATAGCTGACTTGTTGTCGCAAAATATTTGAGTCGCAGAACTTTGCAATTCACCCATGTCTTCTAATATTCTTTTTAGCCATATAGCTTGGCACGCTGCTCCGGCTGCTGCAACATACTCGGCTTCGGCTGAAGATAGTGCAACAGAATCTTGCTTCTTTGATCCCCATGAGAAAATTCCCGAACCCAGCTTAAATGCGTAACCGGAGGTGCTTTTCATGTCATCTTGAGATCCAGCCCAATCACTGTCGCTATATCCAGTTAGTCGTGAGTCAGGAGTTGTTTTGTACCAAATACCATAATTGATGGTTCCTTGTAGATACCTAAGGAGTCTCTTTGCCGCTCCATAATGAGTCTCAGTTGGACTTTCCATGAACCTCGAGAGCAAACTTGTAGCATACATGATGTCCGGCCTCGTAGCCGTTAAGTAGAGTAGACTCCCAATCAAACTTCGGTAATTGGTTGCATCCGTCTGCTTTGACCCATCTTCTTTCTTCAATTTTTCATTAGGAACCAGTGGAGTAACGACGGCTTTGCAGTCTTGCATTTTAAACTTCTTTAGCATGTCCTTAATATATTTTTCTTGAGATAAGAATATGACTTCTTCTTCTTGACTTATCTCCATGCCAAGAAAGTAGTGCATTAATCCCAAGTCACTCATCT